AGAGTTGGTTTTTAATTGACTGTCACTCGAAAAGGAAAAGGTTTGATTCCTTTATTCTTTGATTTCTCACTCAGCGCATGTGTGAGTTGGTAGTTTTGTCAAATTATTGCATGTCTATTTGAGTGTCTGACTATTGCAATGGGTGATAATTCATCAGTTTCAAATGTACGTACTATTGCTCTAGATTCGGGGTCAATTATGACTACTCTTATTGATCATTCACATCCATACTACATTTCCTCTTGTGATGTGCCGGGAATTTCTCTGGTATCTGCTCCTTTTGATGGTACATGATATGTGAATTGGAGTAAGGGAATATTGATGTCTCTTTCTGCTAGGAAGAAAATAGGTTTCATAGATGGATCATGCCATAGACCTTCTGTTACTTCACCTCTTTAAAAAGCTTGGGATAGATGTAACAATTTAGTTGGAACATGGATTTTGACTGCTTTAATCATGCAAATAAAGAATAGTGTTCTGCACTCTAAGTCGGCAAAAGACATGTGGGATGACTTGAGAGACAGATATGGTCAACCTAATGGGGCTCAGATCTATCAGCTCAAGAACTGATTTTATGACATAGCAACATATTACTGAATTTAGTATTCTTAATTCTTTTATGACCTGCTCTTGTTGTGATTTTGTGTGTAAATGTAGAGCAAAATGGCATAATACTGGTATGATTGAGAGTGATAAAGTGTACCAGTTCCTCATGGGTCTAAATGAATCTTACACCACATCAAGAGGTAATATTCTCATGATGACATTACTTCCTAGCCTTTCCAAGACATACTCTTTGTTAGTACACGAAGAAAAACAGAGAGAAGTACAAGCAAGTGTGTCCTTCATAACTGAGACTGTTTCTCTCATTGCTGGAGGCAACAACATGCATCAACCTCAAACTCAGAATCAAGATTTCAATCATAATCAAAATCATAACATGAATTTCAGAAATGGCAACAATGGTGGAAAATTCAACATTGACTTTAGGGTTGGACAGAAGTATGTGGGAGATGGAAGAAAAAATACTATATTTTGCAACTACTGTAAAAAGCATGGGCACCTAATTGATAGGTGTTACAAGTTGCATGGTTACCCCAACAATAATCAACCTCACAATAGATTCAACAATAATGAGAAGGCTAAAAGAACTGTTGCTATGGTACAAACTTCTGAAAATGATGAAGGAACTGGATCAGAATCTGGACAGTCTACTATATGTGGAGGAGAAATAACCAAGGAGCAGATGAGCCAATTGATACAGCTCCTGCAGAATGTTGTTGTTGGGTCTCAAGGTTCTTCTCATCCTGAAGGCATTGGTTCTGCTAACTTGGCAAGTAAGGTTAGTGATTTAGATTCTAGCAGCTTTGCACAGTTTGTCTCATCTGCCTCATCTGCCTCATCTGATTCTTTATCTCAAAAACCCTGGATAGTAGATTTAGGGACTACAGACCACATGACTTCTAACTTGTCTCTTCTTTCTGGAATCAATCCCATTCATGCTTCTTACTTAGTTGTTTTACCTAATGGCTATAAGATAAAGGTCCATTCGGTAGGTTCACTTCCTTTGTCTAAAGCAATTTCACTTCCCAATATGCTGCATGTTCCTTCTTTTCAGTATAACCTAGTATCAGTTCCAAACTATGCAAGCAAATTAAAGGCTTGGTTAATTTCAGTGAGTCTACTTGCTTCTTGATGCAGGGCCCTTCTCCGAAAAGGCCACTGGAAATTGGTAGTGAAGCAGATGGGCTATACATCTTGCAGCCAGAGAAGTTTCTTAGTGATGGTTTTATCCCTTTAACTTCATATGTTCCTTTGAATAAATGTGTACCTAGTTCCAAATGTAATGCTTCCAAGAACTGTGAGAATATATCTGAGTCTAAGTCTGTAAATTTCATTTTGAATGATAAGTATACCTTGTGGCATTATAGATTACCTTTGTGGCATTATAGATTGGGACATTTACCTTACAATAAATTGAAGTCTATTTCTTCTAAGCTTTCCATTTCTGTACCTTCAACTCAATAATTTCCTTGTCATATATGTCCTTTAGCTAGGCAAACAAGGAACTTCTTTCCTTCCAATTCAATAACTACTACTTGTCTTTTTGCTCTTGTTCATGTAGATATTTGGGGGCCTTATAATACTGCTACACATTCTGAGACTAGATATTTCTTAACTTTGGTTGATGATTATTCTAGATCTACTTGGACTTATCTTCTCAGTACAAAGTCTAATACCTTCATAACTTTGAAAGCTTTCATTCTCATGGTTGAAACTCAGTTTAATTACAGAGTTAAGACAGTGAGATCTGATAATGCTCTTGAGTTACGATTAAGTCATAAATCTTATTCTTTTTTTCTCTCTAAAGGGATTCTTCATTAAACATCTTGTATAGAAACACCTCAACATAATGGAGTTGTTGAAAGGAAACATAGACACTTACTTGAAACTGCAAGAGCATTTCTTTTTCAATCCAAAGTGCCTTTAAAATATTGGGGGGAGTGTATTCTGACTGCAACCTATTTGATTAACAGATTTTCCAATTCTGTCTTACAAGGAAAGACTCCACATGAGCTTCTCTTTGGTACACCTCCTTCTTATGATCATCTTAGGGCTTTTGGTCGTCTTTGCTACATTTCAACACTCAAAAGAGGTAGGGATAAGTTTTCACCAAGGGCAAGTCCTTGTGTATTCTTGGGGTACCCTTTTGGGAAGAAAGGTTACAGGGTATTAAACCTTGCCACTAAATAGATTATGATGTCCAGGGATGTGGTGTTTTATGAGGTTGTTTTTCCTTTTGCTTTACAACAGCAGTCTCCTTCTTCTGAGTTCCATGCATCTCCCCCTCCTCTTGATTTTTCTTTCCTTTATCTTTCTCCAGAATCCTCCTCTTTACCCATACCTACAGCTTCCTCTTCATCTCTACCTATAGATTTTTCTCCTCTTCTTCCTCTTCCTCCTCCTCCATCTTCCTCTATTGTGCCTCCACTCACTCCTACTCATGTTCATGCACCTTCTACTCCATCCCCTTCTATTCCTCCAGTTGTTCCATTGAGGAAGTCAACTAGAACTCACTAAAGACCTGGGTATCTTCAAGACTTTGTGTGTAACTCTGCCTCTATTTTCTGTGCTTCCCTTTCTTCTGTTTTACCTGCTCATACCAATATGAAACATGTTTGTTTTTCTGCTTTGTCCTGCCAATCTCAATCCTTTATTAACTCTTTTTCCACTGTGCAAGAGCCTAGATTTTATTCTCAGGCAGCTTTGCATTCAGGATGGCAAGAAGCCATGTCTAAGGAATTTGAAGCCTTAGAGGCAAACAATACTTGGAGTTTGGTTTATCTGCCTGTTGGGAAGCATGCCATTTACAGCAAATGAGTTTATATGATTAAGCATAGGGCTGATGGTTCTATCGAAAGGCTCAAAGCCACGCTTGTCATTAGATGAGATACCCAAATAAGGGTCTTGACTACACAGAAACGTTTTCTCCCGTAGTCAAAGTGACTACTATCGAGTGCCTTTTAGCTGTAGTTGTCAAGAATCAGTGGCAACTTTTTCAGCTAGATGTTAATAATGTATTTTTGTATGGGGATTTAATGGAGAAGTTATATATAAAGGTCCCTCCAGGTATGGTTGTGACTTCTTCTGATTTTGTTTGCAAGTCGAACAAATCTGTGTATGGTCTCAAACATGTATCCAGACAATGGTACGCCAAGCTATCTGATGCCTTACATTCCAAAGGTTTTCAACATTCTAAGAATGATTACTCTCTGTTTTTCAAGCACTCAATTGTTGGTTCTGTGTATTTGGGGGTCTATGTAGATGATATTGTGTTAACTGGTAATGATGTAGAAGGCATCCTTCATCTTAAATAATTTCTGGATGCTCAATTCAAGATCAAGGAAGTTTTGGTGATGTATGTGTCTGATGGTATTTTGGTGAATCAAAGGAAGTTTTCTCTCAAGTTGGTTGAGGAATTTGGGTGTACTAATTCCAAGCCAACCTCCAATCCTCTTCCTTTGGGTCTGAAATTGTCTTCTAATGTGGGTAGTTTGCTTTCTGATCCTTCTATTTGCAGGAAGCTAATTGGCAAACTTAATTTCTTAACTCATACTAGTCTGGACTTGGCTTATACGGTTCAGCATCTTAGTCAATTCATGCAGACTCCCAGGCGGCCCCATTTGGATGCTGCTTTGCTTACTGTGCTACATCAAAGGATTGTCTGGTTTGAGAGTTCATTTTTCTTCTCATTCATCTTTTTCTATGGCTGCATTTTGTGATTCGGATTGGGCTTCTTGCCCTGATTCCAGGATATCAGTTAGTGGGTTTTTTGTTATGTTGGGCTCATGTCCTATCTCTTGGAAGTCGAAAAACCAGACTACTGTTTGTTTATCATCTGCGGAGGCAGAATACAGGTTTGTTTGGAGATTGGTGGCTGAATTAACTTGGCTATGTCGAATCTTGGAGGATATGAATGTTACTGATTTGACTCCTATTGTTGCTCATTACGATAATCAGTCTGCTATTCAAATTGCGAAGAACCGTGTCTTTCACGAGCGGACTAAACACATCGAGTTAGACTGCCATTTTGTTCGGGAGAAATTGCAAGATCACTTGATTTCATTGCATCATATACCTTCTAGTGCCCAACTTGCGGATATTTTCACTAAGAGCCTTCCTGGACAGGCCAATTTGCAACAACTGTCCAAATTAGGAGTGGGTTCCTCCAGCCCCACTTCCAACTTGCGGGGTAGGGGGATGGGTGGTGGGGGTATTGGGCCACCATATTTTACATCTGAGCCAGGCCCAACACTGCGTTAGAGTCCAGGCTCAGTTAGACGGGTTTAATTATTTATCTTTTACTATTTTGCCCCTAAGTTATATATAGTGGGGGCTGATTGTAAATAACTCAACCATGTATTATTTTGTATAATTAAATGTAGAATTCCTGATATTTTCTCTCTCCCCATTCTTCTAGAACTTTCATCTCTGCTTCGATTTCGTTCGAATTCATGGAGGGAACTTGAATCTTATCAAGCTCATACACACAAGTTGAAAGTTAAAATGTCACCATGGCTCATGCAATTTTCTACCTTAACTCATCAAGAGCACATAGCTTTGCATCAAAATTGTAAAATGTCAGTAAATGATGACTTTCTTCAATTGAAAATGATAAGGTGATTGCAGTTCCATGCAAAATCAGCCAGAAAAAATGAAACTTGCTTTCTTGATCAAGAAATACCTCTTTGAAATCCTCAAATGCATATGCACCTCGACAAATTCCATGGTGTAGCCAAGTTTGCAACTGAATAATTTGGTTTGTTTATCCTGCAAGCTGTGCATCTCCGGGTAACAACTATGGCAAACGCTATAGCTTATCATTGATTATCACATAATGGCCACAGAAAAAGATTTGTTTGTGCTTCCTATGAAATTCAGTAACAAAACAATCTTTTTCCTTCTTAAAGCAAGTATAGAAATACTTAATAAGGAATCAGAACATAAGTATACCTTCATTTTCAAGAATTTGGAGATATACATCAGCTGAAGGGAAATAATTATGAACTCAAGCAAGAGACCGGCTAACTGGGGAAAAAAGTTTTTTACGGTCCATTCAAACCTAAAGATTAATTTGAAATTCTTGCAGATCAACTCATTCTCTTTTCTTTCAAAATAGAATGTACCAAAACTACAAACGAAGCTAATATTTCCAACTCTTTTTTACATTTGAGACTAGGGGGTGTCAAATGGGCGTTTGGAAGATTTTGGGCGAACCAAAATAGGCTGAGTCAATAACTGGGCGAGTGAATGACCCGTCCAAAAGTTAGTTGTGCTGGGATGGACTAGGTCAAGATGGGCTAAAATTTGAATCATAGTCCAACCCGCTCAACTCTTACCAAGCTTTAATTAAGGTATTTTTTTTTTATGAATTGTTTAATTACCAAATAAGACTTTTTTTTCTTTTCTTATGGTCATATATAATATATCAAACAAAAAAGAGTTATTTTTAGAATATTTTAGCAAAGTTGTCCATGGATCAATTGGGCTAAAAATCAGCTCAACTTTATATGGATTGAGATGAGTTGGGTCAAGATGCGATGAGTTCAACAATGGCCGGGTCAATGAGCGGCCCAACCTGGGCGGGTTGAATGGTTTTTGGCTTAAATTGCCACCCCTATTTGAGACCAACTTAAGGCATGAACAAGTTAAGAGCAATGGAGATAAAAACTATATCAGAAATCACTTGAAAGTGTTATAAAATGTAGTAATTGAAGAGAAAATGTCTCTGGGTGAATCATCTTTTCTAAGCTTAATTTGGAATCTAAAGTGCTACTTCTTTCCTTAATCACTTTAAAGTTGGTCTTAAGAGCAGAACAAATTAAAATAGAGCACTCATCTTAATTTGATTTTTATGTTTTCTAATAATTTCATTTTTATATTAACACATAGAATCATATATAAAATTCACCTAAGAGAGAAGATAACTTCAACATTCAGACTTCGAAAGGTCCACTCATTTATCCATGCTTATGAGTCGTGACAACCATAAACACCTAGTTGCTTAGAAAAAAAACCATAATTGCAAGCTGATGTTTAGAAGGAACGGAAAAGATCAAGAAGCAATGAGGCCAACAAAGAGAAAAGAAAATCTGACAAAAATTAGCTATTAACTTACTGAAAAGTATAACATCAAAAGATAAAGCCTTATATACTTACCTAAAACCTGATCATATCAATCTGGAGATTGACCAAGGCATGCATTTATTCAGCATCAATCTTAACTGGGATGTTCTATGTCTTAATCGTTTGTCTTAATTTTCTGGAGTTTATAGAGATTATTTCTTCCAATTTCCTGAACGAAATAGCACTGGGTAAAAATCCCACTTCAAAAGATGATTATGATAAATATATGAAACGTTTATCTCCTGCTTGCTAAGTTCCTCTCATTTAGTTTCACCTGTGGAAGTTCTTTCACACCTCGAACATAATGGTCAAAACCGTAAGTTGATGACATTGTGAATTTGCTGGAAAAAGAAGACTGAACAAATTCTTCACGAATCACCTATCGAGAAGGAGATTCATTTATTAGTCGGGCAATTTTACAAACTCATCAATCAAAATAAGAAAGCATGTTGACACAACGTGCTCAGTTGATATTCTTTGTCTCCAAAAATCTCACTTATCAGGCTCTCTCGATAAAAGAAATGGGAATCTAATATCTAGAGGATTCGTAGTAGAACTGCAATTATGTGCAGAGGTTAGCTACAATTATTTGTTTATATATTTTGATAATGATGGTGTCCAGGCTAGATTGCGTGCATCTCGACTAATTCCATTGGGTACCTGCTACCTTCCACCAGCACAGACACCGATAACTCTGTCCGACAAGGCTTAGACAAATGAGAAGAAATAACCTAGTGTGTTTGTTTCCACTGGAATTTTAACCTGAGACCTTATGGTTTTGCACCCACTTCATTGACCGCTAGGCTACACTCTTGGGTGCTTTTCGTAGTAGAACTGAATAATCTGCAGAGGTTAGCTACAATTATAACATGACTTATACGAATACTAAAGTAAAAACCGTCTATATGACACCAAAAGCTCCAGATTATGGTATACCATTTGCTGGAGATGTAAAGATCTATGTTTTGTCCCTCTTTGTTCTGCATCTTGGCTGGTGGTCTTGAATACTGAGTTTAAGCTTTTAAACAACCTTTTTCACAACACACCCAAATCAGCATTAAGAAAGAAACTTATAATCTTTTCTGATTTATTCTACATGAGTATTATGCCTTTTCCAGATATGTGATATTTAAAGGTCACAAAGTTTGTCTTTTAAGATCACACAAGTGCATTTACCCAATAATTCCTACAAGTAATTTCCTCAAATGAACGAAGGAACGTCCCAGTTAAAATTGTTAGGCCCGTGCTTAACACATCTGGTACATATATAAATATGATTAAGAGAGTAACTAACTGAACCAATTTCTCCTTTTCTTTTTGAATTTACAGAAAAAGATTGCACCAATCAATTAAGTAGAAGATGGCTCACTTTTTAACCCTTTATCACTCACTACCACGGTAAATTAATAGCACAAATTTTTTAGATGGAATATGAAGCCACTTACATAAGTTCCTGTTCACAGCAACATGGGACTTTGAAAGATGTATCACAAAGAAAAAGGTTTTAACACATGCTCAATAAAGACACACACCATCAACCAGGAATATCTTCATATTGCACCTAAACAAATGATATTATCTTAAAGGATGAATAAAAATCAGTTTACCACAGAATCAAAAAGGACGTACACCAAATAAGTAAGTTTAACAATAAAGGAATATGAGGTGTTAAATACAATCTTCCTTTAATGTAAAGAATTATTTGTTCAGTAGCACTTTTAAGTTCCCAGCCATATAGTCTCAGAAGTAGGACAAACTTTGTGACCATGCATCGTATGAGAACATGTGGAGTCATGCATCTAACTAAGGATTTTCCTTGAAAGTAAAGGCAATTCCACATGTAAAATAAAATATGCCAATTACAGGAGGAGGCATTAGGCAACATCTGTGACACGATAAGATCAGATAAGACCAGCAGAGGCCAGCATCGTGTGTTTGCAAATGAGGAGAAGCTCCTCTATTTATAGCAAGAAATCCTTGTCCTTATAATGGATATTATGTCATGACAAATGTCATGATCCACAAATTTTGTTATAATGGATATTATGTCATAGCAAATGTCATGAAAATTTGGTCATATTACAAATCTCCACCTTGGCCTGAGTTCCGCAAATAGACCCTTCAACCATAAAGCTTCTTTGATCGCCTCGGTCACTGCCATAAATTCTGCTTCGGTAGTAGATAAAGCTACTACATGTTGTAATGTAGTTTTTCAACTAATAGCGTAACCATTGATGCAAAATACATAGCCTGTCAGTGATCTTCTTTTGTCAAGATCACCTGCATAATCTGAGTCTACAAAACCAACCAAAGTGTTAGTATTTCTCTTAAACTCCAAACATGTATTTGAAGTACCACGCAAGTATCTAAGAATCCATTTCACAGCATGCCAATGTGCTTTACCAGGGCAAGCCATATACCGACTTACCACGCTCACTGCTTGTGAAATATCTGGACGTGTACAAACCATTGCATACATAATACTGCCGACTGCACTGGAATAAGGAACTTGTTCCATGTACCTCTCTTCTTCCTCTGACTGCGGGGACTGAGCAGCTGATAACTTAAAATAAGCAGCAAGAGGGGTACTAACTGGTTTAGCATCTTTCATGCCAAACCTCTCCAAGACTTTCTCCAAGTACTTCTTCTGGGTCAG